AAAATTTATAATTGATACTTGACTCTTTGTTCAGAATGTCTAAAATGTATGACTGAAATCCTGCCTCATTTTGACCCTAACACAGCACACAGACTAAACACTACATTTCCATTCGATAATTGTTTACATCCATTGTATATATATATATAATTATTCGCCAGTATTCACCAGAATACATGTGGAATGAGTTGATCCCTGCTGAATTATCAGTCAACTGTATTCATTTAACAAAAGAAATAGCAAGTGTTCAGCGTTCTGGTTAATATTCACTATATACACGATTGTATATCCAGAGTGTGTCAACTCCTGCATCCCGACTCACGGATCAGCCTGTTGTGTGTAATTAGGTCAGTAGAACTCTTTGCTGGCATACTCATGAATTATTGATTGGATATAGTCTGCCAATTTTGGAACTCCCCTTTCATCAGAGTTTATTTGTTTTCACTGGAGACCTTCTGCATAATGAGCGTGCTTAATAGTGAACACTGTAATGGGTGTCTAGGCTTTTAAAGGCTGACGATAATGGGGCAGGGTGCTGTTGAATAGAAATTATGAACAATAAGCTTGTCTCGTAATGTTTATCGAGTGACATGCTGCAGTATACTGGATTGAACTTTATAAAATCAGCCTTTAAAACAACATTTATCACGTACACATTTTAAATCCACAAACCGGGAGTTTTTCAGAACTTGAAAATATTGTTTAAAATATCACTTTAAATGCTCTTTCTTCGTGGTTTTCTGTGAAAATTTACACAGTTGACTTTCAAATTCGAGTACTTCACATGGGGTGATTTGGCTACAGTGTCAAATTACATTAAGATTATTTTTATTGGCTGCTTTGTCGTAGTCAAATATAATTTCTCGCCGAAAAAGCACTGATGAGCGTTAGTTGGATCTTTGGATGGGTGCACTAAGTAAAGGACTTCATATCATGCATCACTGTCATCACAATCCTTTCATTGCCCATAAACAAATACAAGTTGTCCAAACATAACCACAAATACTAGATACTGTTATCGATGTTTACTCCGTTCATTGGGAACATTCTGCCATTATAACCTAAAATGGGTGGAAGTTATTTAGCAGAGATTTTCCAGCACAGATGCACAAGAGAAGGGAAAAGAAGCATCATATACTCATGTATCATATATATTCTATTAAGTGGAATGTCATAAAACACGTACCTGTCTGAGAGTTAATCACACATTAAATGCTATTTTACTTGAGGCAACCCAAGCTCTGTAAAGGCAACATGGGAATCTTTTCACATGTGAGTTTTTTTAAACAAATAAAATGTTTTTTAGGGCAAAAACACAGCAGCACCAACATGTAGTGTTACTGTTGTAGCTTATATTGTTTTACAAGGTCCATTTTCCCAATAAAGTTGTGTTTAATTGAAGCACTTTGTCATGTCATTGCATTATATTGGTGTCTGAGTGATGACGCAGGAGGCTGGTGGGGGCAGGATTATGTGACCATGTTTGACTTGAGACCTAAACTAAATAAATGTCTCAAATAATAGGACATATTTTGAGGGTACAAGACTTTGAAGATATGTGTTGATATGACGAAGATTAGAAATTAAAGTGCATGTAAAGAATCATGAACATAAGATCATGATGTCTCCTTCTCTTGTGATTGTGAGACTATAAAACCAGGCATTTCTTTTTGAAGACCGCCATCAGCCAACTCTCAGTGCACTCACACAGAATGTGACTTGTGACTGTCCAAATGGCTTTTTTGTTTTTTGCCCAGTGAACCTTTGAACCCAACAGATTTGAATCACCAGCTGAGTCTGAGACAGAATCTATCTTTCTATCAGCACAAGAAGGGTTTTATACAACGTCTTTCTCAAACACGATCTTATGCTTCACCTTTTACCGCTGCCGCTCCAGGAACACAAAGAAGTCCTCTGAATCCAATCTGTGGGTTTGCTGGTCTGCAGTCTGTGGTGTTGTATAACAGATCATTTTATAAGGTTTACTTCTCCAAAACGCAGCTCTAAAGTGTGTTTGTAAGTTCATGATGTCTAGACCCACATCCTGGTGGGTTGGCTTCACGCCCAGCCAATCAGACTTACATTGATTCACAGGCCAGAAAAAATGATGAAACAATAGGAATACGAAAGTAACAACAAATAAAATGGCGTGTGATATTTAGAAGAAAAAAAAAAAAGCAAAACAGCCAGATGAGTCATATTTGCAGCAATATCTTTGGTTTTAACAGAATTGTTGTGCTGAAGGTAGCTCTTTTGTTCCACTTCCAGTTGGATGTTTTACTGTAGTTTGCCTGATGCTGTTCATTTTGTACCTATAGTGATCTCCCTTTAAGGAAAGGAAGCTGTCACAATCCCTGACATCTTAAAAATATACTCAGAGAGCATATCTGATTTTATTTAACCTGTCATTTTAGGGGTTATTTTTTGTACTGGACACACTGTAATTTACCCCTGTGCTCTATTTGTTTTTACTGGAAGCTTCTCTTCAACTATATATTATTATCATCGCTGTTACATGACTCAGGTCACATTTCATGCTGTGCAAATTGCTTATTTAGTTTCATCTCTATTACGGCTTGGCTCTTGGCTCTTCCGATTTTTATCAGGTACAAGTACAGAGAACGTGCCAGAGTCAGCTGACTGCACACAAAGTCCTCTTGTGTTTGTGCATGTGTGTGTGTGTGTGTGTGTGTGTGTGTGTGTGTGTGTGTGCGTGTGGGAAAGAAAGGGCAAAAGACGGTTATTTTACATTGTTCCTCCTTATTAGGACAAACACATTGTATCGTGCCGTTTTACAGTCTCTACGAGGCAGTGTGATCATGGTTTGGGGGTTTTTGTGGCTGTGCTGCTTAACAACTCCAAAAACACACTCTGTCTCATCAAATTAGCATTTTGTGACTTTTCTAAATTAATGAGAATTGCCGTTTTTGAACTTTTGACCTGTTTCAGAAGTGTTTTCCCAAAAAAGCAACATCCGTCTGGGATCTGAATCCAGCTGACAAACAAGGCTAAATACTACAGATATGCTATCTGTGGTCTGACTGAGCCCATCCATGAGTAACATATAATATCATCTTCAAGGCAAACGAAAGGAATCTGAAATACAAAAGCACATTAGACTTTTGAAACATGATATATTTTCTTATTTGGTGTAAAAAACAACAAAAACAACCACAATGTGGTCATTTTTTGCATATTGCCACCTTGATCACTTTGATTCCACTTTCATTTTCCTGCATGTTTGAACAAGCAACCACTGGATTCTCTTTGAAACAGTTCCCAAAGAGGAAAGAGAAATTTTGTAAACATATTAATAATTTAAATATATATATATATATATATTTTTTTTATATTTAAAAACCCAGCAGTCACAAGTAAGTTAATTTCTACATTTGTCACACCTCCAAATCTGTAAAATTAGAATCAGAGGTGTCACATTAGGGTGGCAATGATGGTGGAACCTGCTTTATTTAAACCTCCACCTTCTAGGCTCTGCTGTTCTCTTTGCTATTAAAAGGTGTGGTGTCAACAGATCTAAAGAGCTCTCTGAGGTCTTTAGAAAAAGGTTGCAAATGCCTAAGTGTGGGAAAGGATTTGAAAACATCTACAAATTAGTTGAAATAAATCTTCACACTGGGAGGAAAACCCCTCTTCAAGCTGTGTAGATTTCAAAAGATGGTCCAGAACTGGCAGCAAATTCAGCGCAAGAGCGGACTGTTTGATGTAAGAAGTCTGCAAGAAACCCAAACTTTCATAGGATCTGAAGGAAACTCTGCAACTGTTGGTGTCAGATTTGACCTGCATGAGCAATCACATGAGAGGGCTACCAGGAAAATGACTTAGAAGTAGTAAAACAGTTTTCCATATATGCAAATAACACGTATATTCAGGAGAAGGTGTTACATGGTATGTATATGGTTGTGTTCAAGGATACCATCTTTATGTGTTCACACTATTTGAAAATGACCCCAAGTTTCATTGCCCAAATGTGTCAAAAGAGCCAACAATTTCTACAAGATGTATTTAATTTTTCCCATTCAATAAAGAAAGTCAAGAATGCTATTGCTGATAGAACAAAAATAAGAAGGTGCTCTTCAGGGATGAACACATTAGTCAAGTAGAGATTGCTTGATCAATTTTAAATGCACCACTTGTTTACATTGAAAATATCTCATCCTACAATTCTACTATTTCATTTAGTCAGTTTCATCAGCAAAGTGCTCTAATTTGTCCAGGACAGTTTTTTTTTTTTTTTTTAATTCTTTTTCAACCACAATTCAAAAACAATGTCTTATTTCACTAAATTATAATTTAGTAAATTTTTATTTATTATTACTTTTTTCAGTTTCTTGCCATTTGAGTGAAAATTGTGAGTTTTGCCTTTTCTTTAATGGAAGGGTATGAATAAACTGGAGGATGACTGTACAATAATAAGAATAAAGGCATCATCTTCAAAAGGAAACAAAATGGTTGATTCTCTGCACATCCAGCAGTGATGAGCAAACACTCACTATGTAAAGTGCGTTTGAGATGACTGTCCTTACAGGTTGGTATACAGTCAGGAGAGGTGTGTGTTCAGTGACTGTGGGTCTTCTCCTCTGGCACCCAACCTGTGCATGAGGAGGAGGAGGAGGCGGAGGAAGGTTTACGGTCACTCGGGGATTACGCACCTTTGACCTCCAGCACTGTAACAACAGTAAGCTGCTCACTGAGATGCCCGAGCGACCAAATCCACCAGCAGCAACCGGTTTGTCACATGACCAGCGTGCATGCAGCGCTGCCTTGCCTCTCTCTCTCTCTAGCCTACGTGTGTGTGTGTGTGTGTGTGTGTTTGGCTTCTATTTTTTTTTTTTTATTTCCGCGTTCATCCAGGGAGCGCAGAGCTGAATGAGTCTCCACGGCCGTCCTCTGTCTACCGTTCACGCCGCGGATCCGCGTCGCCGAGCTGGGGGGAGACTCTCACGCAATCTCATCGCCCGGAGCCACGCAGCAGCGGGACCATGCTCACGCGTATGAAATCGGCGGTGGCCAATTTTATGGGAGGTATGATGGCCGGTGGCTCCAACGGGGACCATCCCGGCGGCTCGGATCTGCCGCTCAAATACCCGTACAGCAGACCGGAGTTCCTGGGACTGTCGCCGGACGAGATCGAGTGCTCGGCGGATCACATAGCGAGACCGATCCTGATCCTGAAGGAGACCAAGAGGCTGCCGTGGTCCACCGGCTACGCAGAGTGAGTAACCTGTATGCGTCCATCTTTTTCCCCTTTTTTTTTTGCGCGCACAGCAGCATCCTCTGGAAGTGATCCTTCCTGGACCTGCTCAGAGGCGTCAACACCATCTTTGAGCCTGATTCCGGCCTGATTCTTGTGTGTTTTTATTTTTCAATGTGAAATGGGATGAAGAGCAGCAGCTGGCCTTCTCTCCCTCCACCACCACCACCACCACCACTCCTCCAAACCCAGCCTTAGCACATAAACATGACTGTGAGGATCTCATAAAAACATGGCAATGATCTATCCTCTGCAGCCACATTAGGAGTGCCTTGTTAAACAGAAAGACACCATGAAGTTGGTTATAATAAGGAACGCTGTGTGACTTAATTTCACAAGAGATGGGGAGTGCACTCTTGGATGAGCTCCAGCTGTCACTAGGTTTACCTCTTCACCTGTTTCACTGGCATCACCTGTGCATTTTTTCAATCGGAATCGTTTTTCTTGTGCTTTTTGCTGCAGTAAATGCAGTTAAACCCGTCCACATCCCCTAGATGTAAAGTCTATCACACGTGTCCTCTTGTTACTTGATAACTGAGACCAGAATCACAAACCTAAAGATCATCTGTTGTGTCACATCTTGCGCCCACCTGCCTCCCTGTAACACATCAGACGTGTTTTCAATCATAAACAGTGTTACAGTCGCGTGCATGAGTGGTGAAAAGCTGCTTCTATAAACTAGTTTAGCTGTCAGACTGAAAGGAAAAGTGAGGGAGATGCTTAATTTGCACGCCGCTGAAGCGATCCTAGTTTATTTATTTATTAGTTTGCATTTATTTTCGACAGGATCAAAAGAACCAAAGTGTTGTCAGTTCTTCTATTGTCCAAGAGCGTAGAGTCACAATCACTTCCACTCGTGCAGATAAGAGGAGCAGGGCCTGGCGGTTAGTGAGGCTGCCTCGTAGCTACAGAGGTCACAGTTCAGTCCTGCAGGCACTCCTTAGTGTGACAGAGCAGTTTAGTGCCCTGGATTCATAAGTTCACAAGGAAGAGATAGTTTCTCTTTCCCCTCTTGGTGTTAAGTCTTGTCCTCATGCGTTTGATAAGCTGTCGTGACTTTTTCCTTGAGCGTAATTGTTTAAGCGATGAAGTTAGATGTTCATTAAGAGCACTGTGGGCAGAGACTCCCTCTGACTGTTATGCATCTAATGTTTCGAGTCCTACGTTGAACCCACTTCAGATGGGATTCCCTGGAAGCTCGCTTTCCTTTTGGCTCAACTATGTTTACATGAAGTAGATGCTTTAGCTGCATAGAAATGAGGGCATACATGAGATTTATTTCAGTAAACATTTCATTACCTTCTGTATTGTTTCATCCATAAAATGTCTGGTGGGATGAAATTTCCTAGAAAGAAGAGATCTTAAAATTAATTATTTTGCCCAACTAACAGTCCAAACTCCCACATTTTTCATTCATTATGTAAATAAAGTCCTCATATTTCAGAAACTAGAATAAGAAGAGCTTAGGCGTTCTAGCTTGAACACTTCATAAATATGGCTGATGAATTTTCTGCAGATTAACTGATAAATTGGCTGTTTGAGGACTGAAATAGATCCATATGGTCTCTGCTTCCTATAGAATGAACAGATCCTGTGAAATTGTTGAAGTCTCACACCCGCCCTCCTTTATGCTTCCTCGTGCAAATCTGCCGTGAAGAATTTTTAATCTCAAGACAAAAGAGAGGACGATGATACGCTTCTGTTTTTAGAAACTATCAACCTTATATATATATATATATGTTCTAAAATTTTAGCTAAACTGAAAATTTTGTGCACATGTTGTTTTCATCTTGATATTATGCAATAGCACGTGGAGGTTTCTGTGCCTTATAGAAATTAACATGGGATGCATGTTTCTGCACGATCAGTTCAACAACCTCTACGTCATAAATAGACGTGATGCTTCTGCCAGGAGCGTGCACACACATGTATGTACGTGTGTGTGTGTCGACGTAGCATCCGCCTGGACTCGGCCATACTGGGGATTTGTCAACAGCTGGCTGACCAGCAGGCTTTGTTGTTGCGAAATATCGCTGCCAGCAGAGAAAACCTGAGCCCCTATGAGATGTGGTGATCCATACAGATCCACTCAGGACGGTTAACACGGTCAGATACCAGTGGATCCCTTTGATAACTTGGCTTTAAAGGATAAACCCAAAAGCCGGAATAGATGCATCTGAAGACAGCTTAGCAGCTGTCACTGTGGGGATCCTACTGGAGAGTGAATGCTGTTTTATATTTTCTACTCACATGGCAGATGTAACATGGAGTGTTTCTGAATACTCAAAAGATCCTTTGATTTTCTATTTTACATATGGCCCTTTTGATTTGAGTTTTACTTTGAAGAAATGCTTTGAAAGTAATGTCTGATTTAGGTAATTGTGTGTATCAGATTGTATGAGGAACAGTTTCTCTGCTGCAGTTTTTTTCCGTATTTCAACATCCTGGCCGTTTAATCCGCATTCTAAATATAGTGAAAGATTTAAAGATCATCAGAAATGGAAAGAAACATCAGAGTGTTGGAACATGAAACTCTGTTTTCCTCCCTCATACCCCTGCCTGCCTCTGAGTAGGCCTCTCTCTGAGCTTCCTCTGAGGGTTATCCTGGGTTACTGCGCTGCTCTCTGTAGAGACGGGCCGAGCAGTCCTGCTTCATGTGGAGGATTCTGATGCATCGTCTCTGAGTGGGTGCGCTGTCTGGTCCAGTGAGCACGATCATTTGAATGGATCAGTGAGTATTGCTCACTCCAACTTGTGTCACCCTTTTCTTCTCCAGCACACTTTGATGCCTCACTTTTACAGAAAGGTTACATTTGCTGCAGCTTTCCTCTGCAGTTGATTTTAGCTGTAAACACGCTGACCACTAATTATCCTTGCTTGCGTGCGCATTCGGTTCAATGTTTGGGTGCAGTGCTGCCGGGCTGCGTGTTGCTCTGCATGCCCAAAAGTTGTGGAAATACAGGAGCTGCTAAAGTGGAGTTCTACTTATGGTCAACTTATTGACCGGACTTTAAGAATTTCCTAAATTTAAATCAGGAAGAATAATTGCAGGGTGACTCATATCATTTTTAGGTATTCAAATGCTTACTTTAGAAAAAATGCTTTCTTTAGAGCAACAAAGTGGTTACTATTGCAGACAGCTTGTTAGTTAACCCGACACTGTGACAGCTTACAGACAAACTCATGTTAAATTGATTTCCTAGAACTTTTTCTCTTGTGTTTTTTATTTTAGAAAGGTGACTAAAGGTGCCATGCTTACTTTCATGAGTTAACATATGATGGAGGGCTTTAGATAAAAATCAAAGGCCTTGAACAAGTTCAGATTTCTTTTCAGAAAATAGTGTCATGGAGAACAGACAGAGAAATCCCAGAATGCTATGCTCCAGTAGAAGCCTATAAGATGAAGCCCAGTTTGATGATTTCCATTTTAGTTGCATGATTAACTGTATTCAGGACTTTTGGGGTCTTTTGGACCCCAGGCCATTTGGTTTAGGTGATGGGTATTTTTCTTTTTTTTTTTAAGATTATTTTTTTAAATATAAAAAGAGGGACATTTGTCATGCATTTGGAACCAGAAATACGTCAACTTATACCCAGAGAAATTTTTTTAACATAGTATAAAAGTCTATAATAAATACCAACAAATATTTTGCAAATATTCTGTTATATATGTTGCCATATATTCTACATGTGGCAACATGAACGTCCTGAATAGGGTTAAGTTGCCTGGTGTAGCATTAGGGCAGATTTTCTTCTTATGATATTTAAGGACAAAATTAGCTTTATATTGTTTGGATCCATCCATCCATTGGCTGCACCTGTTTTATCCTGTAGAGGGTTTGTAGGGGCTGGAGACTATCCCAGCTGACAGTGAGCGAGAGGCAGCAACACCCTAGACAGATCATCTGGACAGAGACACGCTCACAACCCATTTAGAATCGCACTTTTAACCCACCAAGCGTGTGTTTGGACTGTGGGTGGAAGGTGGAGCCATAATGACACAAGGAGAACATAAACAAAGGCCAACCAGCGGGTTTGAACCCAGAACCTGCTTGCTATGGTGCCAACCACAATGTCTCCCCATGTTTTTACCCAAATTTGACCTTTTTTGGACCCAGTTGTTTTCTATCAGGGCAAGAGGATGAACAACGACAGAGCTGTGGGTTGCAGCAAAGGTGCAGCATCGGATGAGATAGAAGTGGACTGAAAAGCGGAAATTCAGTGCAATGAACGAGAACAAATCGAAGGCAGTTACATAAGATAGAGTAGATAGAACCAGACTGTCCGTTATACTAAAGCCATTTCTTTTCCAGAGTAGCCTGAAGAAGAAACTGATTAAGAGCCACGTCGCCAGTTTCAGATATCCCGCACGAATGATAAAGTAGCAAAAAAACAGCCCAAGTGGCCTTCACCTTTTCTTGTGTCCTCCACATGTACATTCCTCTCCTCAGCTCCTCCAGCTTGTTTGTTGGCATAGCAGAGTAGTAGTGAGGAGAGAGTAAAGATCAGTTGTGACAAAGCCGCGCTGCAACCTCAGCAGCGCTCTGATCAATACTTAATCAATAGGCGTGTCTGTAAGCTAAACACGAGCGCCGCCGCTGCACGCTGTATGTTTTGTCTGCAGGTCAAGCTGACACGTATGGACGAGGGCAGGTCAGTGCAAGCAGCAAGGTTCAGCGTTAACATCTGCGTTAAGGGAGCAGAGGGAGGAAAGTGGCAGCGTCACGGTGTTTAACAGTGAGAGTGTGAGTCAGGGTGTTGAGTTAAATTAGGGCGTGTGTGCTCAAGGAGCAAGATACAGAAGGGTTCCGATGTTTTAACACCGCAAACATGCCAAGAAATGTGTCCTCTCTGTTTTGAGCAGAGCATTATCCACACACATTATCCTCTGTGCATTTTTTATATTTTCCCCATTGTGAGGAAGCCACATGAAGTTAACGTCACGCTCGGCCGTGGAGGGG